GCACCCTCAGAGCCACACACATGTAGACGGGGGTCCGCTGAGCGGTGCCAGGGGAGGCGGCAGCACCGTCGCCCTCGGTGTCTGTGGGTCCTTTCAGTCTGAAGTGCACCCGGTGGCTGGCCTCATGGGACCGCTGCCCCAGCTGCGCTGTGGCGAGGGACAAGGAGCCGAGGTCGGCCATGTCCCCCGGGACAGCAGTGAGGGCTGGGAGGTGAGCAGGTGTTGGAGGCTCAGCTAGGGGTCCCCACCCGGGTCCAGATCCTGCCGTGGGAAAGACGCGATGGCCCAGGACATAAAGGTCCCTGCAGTGGGCTGAGGTGGCCTTGAGCTCAGGCCTTGCTTTGAAGTCCCTGCTCCGTTGTGGCAGGCACCACTCCACACCCAGCTGCAGCACTCACTGGCCTTGCTGGCCCACGCTGGTCCCCGAGGCCACGCCTCCTCCAGGCTGCTCCTGGCAAAGACCCTGGACTCCTGAGGAGCCACATTGGCTCAAGAGCACCCCCAGCTGCTGGCCCAGCCGTCCAGGACGCCCTCTGGCCCTGCACCCTCTGTGTCAGGGGCTCAGCCACGGGCAGGGGCTGCGTGGCTCTGCAGCCTGCCCCTGGCCCCGCCCGTTGCCACCCACACAGGCACATGCCCTGCTACAAGCCCCCCGGCCCCTCCCCTCTGCCTTGAAGGTAGATGTTCACCTTCCTAGAAATGAGGAACCACATCATCACCTTCCAAAGCCAGCACACAGGACGTGTCCCCTCTCTCCCCCAAGAGCCCCTCTCTACCCTTGTCTGGGTCTCCTCTTCTCGAGGTGAGTCCGTGTCCTGGCATCGTCCCCAGGGCACTGGGCCTCGCAGACAATTGGCCCGAACCTCTCGGTGTCAGTGGGGTTGGAGAGGGATGCCCACGCTGTGACTCAGCCACTTTTAACAGTCCCTGTGCTGCTCAGCATGGGCTGAAATGAAAGCCAAGGGCAGGGACCCCACCCTTCCTGAGGCTGGATCTAGCTCACTGTGGGTTTTTTTGGGGGTGGGGTACTGGGAATTGAACTCAGGGGCACTCAACTACTGAGCCACATCCCAGCCCTTATTTGCATGTTATTTAGAGACAGGGTCTCACTGAGTTGCTTAGCACCTTGCTGTTGCTGAGGCTGGCCTTGAACTCGATCCTCCTGCCTCAGCCTCTGGAGCTGCTGGGATTACAGGGTGCACCCCGGTACCTGGCTATCTTGCTGTGTTTTTCAGACCATGTTGGTGGGAATGGAGGAAGAAGACTGGTTCATCGGAGATGAGGTCCAGAACAAGCGAGGGATCCTCAACTTGCAATACCCCATCTCCCGGGGAGCCATCACCAACTGGGACAACATGGAGAAGGTGGGCTGCAGGTCCAGGTGGGGGCACCTGTCACCTACCCTGCTGGGCATGAGGAAGGGCTCTGTCAC